AGGGTAAAATTATGAGCATTAAATCGTTCAAGAAATGAAATAGATGTTTAAAATTTATGATACCCCAGTATGGAATTGAAGCAAATTGCTAACATTATCGGCACGACTCGGATGACACGAGGAGAGGTAAATTTATGTAAATATGTTAATGCCTTCGAAATATACGTTACGTTTGCTAACAGTACACGATCGCCCAAGCGTCCAACACTATAGAAACCATAAACTGTGTGACGATATATTCTATTTATGTAGGCAACGAATAAACACAAAATAAACATGGATACAAAGTAGAGCCGAGCTGCAGCTGTATCTATTATGGCCGCAACGAACGGGTTGACTCGACTGGGGCAGGACCACACTCACACATAGTAACAGCTATGTGTGAGTGTGGTATTGTGTTGTGTCACTCCATATGTGTGAAAACGCATCTCGTGTCATCATCATCGTGTAGCATCATCGTGTCTATGGGTCACAATATCCACAGGTGGACTGTGTGCTCGTTTGTCACATTCCTATATAAAAGAAATGGACAATATAGTGCATACATAAAAGATGTGAATCATAGATTACGTATCATTACACAAAATGATGCTATAATCTATGGAAAATTACCAGGTACCTTACAATGTTTCTAATCAAATATAAATAAATGAAGTCAGCCAGGAAAAACATTTAAGACTTGACTACCACATCATAACTTGGTATCGCGGCAAATGTATCCACACGCACGGTATTTTTATGCGATACGATCTAAAGTATTTTAGATGAAACGTGGTTGATGTGGAAACTTAGAGTACCTATTTATATGTACTTATTTATACACTAAGCATGGGATCAATCAATATGCATATAAATAATCTAAAATTTCCATAAGTAATTTTCCTATGTCTTCTTATATTTACGCGAACACTACACATTTTTTGCAGTATAGCTTTACGTGGTAGAGATATACTGCAGCTATATTATGGTTGTAGCACGAATGGGTCAGCTCGACCGGGGAAGGACCACGCTCTCACAGAATACCAGCGTAAAATGGCAGCTTAACACTGCTGTGTTTCATATGGTGAGTGTAGAGAACCACTCTCACAACTCATCTGCATTTTGATTCTTAATTGAGGATAAATGTAGAGGTCTATGGGCCACAGCATCTACTTACCACATCAATAGATAATATATTTCTAAAACAGAAAAAAACGTTAAATAAAACTTATTTTAAGGATTTTATCTCGTATGGTGCGTAGGGTCACGGATAAGTGATTGACATACGTCCCCCCCATGCTCTCATCATCTAGACGTGATTCTTTATTTTCAAACCGATTTGAAAAAACGTGGGGGTTCTCAATTCGTCGGAATCTTTTTTTACGTATTTTCACCGATTACTCAAAGACGCCTGAACCGATTTGGATAATTATCTTTTTGTTTCAAAGGGTATACTTCCCAGGTGATCCCATTTAAATTTTATCAAAATCGGTCGAGGGGTTTAAAAAAAATCAACAATAGATTTTATTCATATTAAAGTCGTCTGTATAAAAATTTATAATTACCACATGTAAGTCAAATGTAATCATAGACGTCTAAATAATGTTTGATGTTGCTAATACATTGATGTAATACAATTATTTCATGAATATTACTATTTATTATTATTTTTATATTCGCGACATAGACTCAGCTTGCAATTCTTTCTTCTTCAAAGCAATTTCTTCTCATATTGTATTATAATAAGTATGTCTACGCACGAAATTGATAATGTGACTTTTGTCATTCATCAATCGCATCACCTAATAATTAAACGATTGTGCGCTTAAGTGCGATTAAACATTGTTTAACTTCAATGCTAATTTATTGCAGTCCTTGATATAATTAAATCAGTATGTTTTTTTTTAATTTAATGATACATAAAACATATTACAATAGTGCATAGTAGTAACTAAATTTTATTAATTTTACGATAGTAGTTATTAAAAATAATATATTTATGCGTGTAGACGTCTGCAAGCACCAATTCAGACCGTATTGCGGTTTAATGGTGCTGAATTATATCACCACCAATACGGTCCGGTATAATAGTACTATTCAGCACCATTAAACCGCAATACGGTCTGAATTGGTGCTTGCAGACGTCTACACGCATAAATATATTATTTTTAATAACTACTATCGTAAAATTAATAAAATTAAGCATGATAACAACTAACAACCTATTCACTGTATTAGCGACATGACGACAAACAGGTGTCGCTAGTTTACCGCGATGAATGTGTATGGTATACTATACATATACAGGCTGATTTCTATAGCAATTTTTTTAAATAATTATATGCTTAATTTTATATATTAAGTTTTTTTTCTGGCAATGTACGTAAGTGTAATAATAGGTCATCCGGATAATATGGTCACTTTCTCATTATTCAAAAACTACAGCCTTGTTTGCATGGATGGTTCTATGATACGATAGCTTTTCATCAGTCAACCAAATAATAGAGTCAAAAGGGCGCTACTTTATCGACGCCATTTTACTTACTTATCTTCACGCACAATCCCTGACGGGGTAGCCAGAGAGAACAGATCGCCAAGCGTCACGATCCTTACAAACCTCTTTCGCTTCTTTCAGATTCATTATCTTCTTCATGCATGCACGTCTAGGTATCCGAGTACTCTTGACCCTACCCTCTTCGAGCAATTTGCTCACATGGTCTTCGAAAGTTAGTCTCGGTCTACCTCGACACCTTTTAATATTAACTTTCGCGCTATATATTTTCTTCACCATTCGGTCTTCACTCATTCGCTCAACGTTCCCAAACCACCGAACCACGCCCTTATCAATTTTTGTGATAAGGTCATCTTTCAAACCTGCCATATTGCGAATCTCTTCGTTACGCTTTCGGTCGGCCATGGTAACGCCGCACATTTTACGAAGAGATCGCATCTCCACTGCATTCAACTTACTTTTATGCTTCTTCTGGCATACCCAGGTTTCGCTGCCATATAACAAAGTTGGTACCAACACTGCGTTATATATTGCAAGGCGTGCACTCTTCGCTACGCCTTGCCTTTTGACTAACGCAGTCAGGGCACCATTGACTTTGTTCCCGGCAGCGACACGCCTGTCCACATCTAAATCACATCTTCCATCCCGCCTAAAAGCACTCCCCAAGTATACAATTTCATTTACCTGACGCCATTTTGACAGACTTTATAATAAATATTGTTACGAGCTTGGGGTTCGAGACAATTAAAAACTGCCGATTTACTTATCTTCACGCACAATCCCTGACGGGGTAGCCAGAGAGAACAGATCGCCAAGTGTCACGATCCTTACATATCTCTTTCGCTTCTTTCAGATTCATTATCTTCTTCATACATGCACGTCTAGGTATCCGAGTACTCTTGACCCTACCCTCTTCGAGCAATTTAATTACCAAAATTGACACTTTAATTACAGAGCACTAATTAGAACTTAAACCACACTAATAATAAAACATAATTTTACTACTGATCACTAGTTCGCAGTTATATCACTTCGAAGTATTCGCTTATATCGCCAATTCAATACTCTCTCGGTCGCGGTCTATACCGGCCTTATATAGGGCCTCAGGTAGTTTCCAAAACCTTCTACTATAGAAACATCTAGAATGTTCGAGTACATATCGGTCCCGATATTTCTAGAAGGACCTTGACTCTCCTAGTACTGCTACTCGATACTAGAGGGCGCTAGTGGTAACTAGTGTTGCTATGTACAAGACATTAATAGTGGCGCGCAACACTGCCCCCTCCTAAGACATATTCGTCCCGAGCATTATTGGCCCCATAATAACGCACCAGTCCCCGCCAGTTTCCCTGCTGCTGTTGGGCGGTGTTGTTAGCCGCACTACCCTCTCGAGATCGGTCACCTCCCCTTTCTACAGTTCGCTTAGGACAGCTGGATTGAAGATGGCCCCTTTCCCCACAGCCTTAGTACCTAGGGTTGTATCCTTTATTGCGGTCGCGAACTGTAGCTGCTGCAACTTTCTGCTGGAACGATGATCCTGCCGCACGGCTTCCATCTCCAGTGTATGGGCCAACGCGTCCTTAAGCGTCTCGTGGTGCCCGAGCTTCACAGCAGCTCTGACATCAAAGTCGCAGATGCCGTCGATGAATGTCTGCACTAGGTTCCCTACAATGAGCGCAGGTACAGACTGGTATATTTTCCGAACCAGCTTTTCCACCTCAAGGGCCCACTGCTGCAGGTTTTCGTTGCTGCGTTGCACGCGATCTTTGAGCTGCGCACGAAAGATGTATTCCAGGTGAGCGTCGCCATATCTCGCCTCCAATGCCTTAAGGAGCTGCTCATAAGTCACTTCCTTACCGAGAGCTTCCAGAACAGTTAATTGCCTATTCATTTTTCTTGATCGAAGAATAAGAGATTCAATATAATCACTAAGACACTAAGCATTAGTCGACTTTTTTGTTTGGAATTGTTCCTAATTTTGGCTTTTTGATAATGATCTCCAGCGATTAAGTTCTTCTGTACTAAAGAAAAAATAGTGTTATGAGGAGGAATATGCTCTCTTCTTCTCCAAGTGCCAATATCATCTGCTATTATTTCGCATACTACCAAACTAACGAAAGAATAGAATCGTCTATTTTTTTTTTTTACTATAAACGTACTAATCTGTATATATACTTTTTTTACAGAATAAAGGTGACACACGAGCACACAGTCCACCTGATGGTAAGTGAATGCTGAAGCCCATAAACATCTACATTTATCATCGATTAAGATTCAAAATGCACATGCGTTCTAACCCCGAGGACTGCGATGGATTGCCTTGCATCCAGTAAAAAGGGTATCCGGTTATCTACACTCATCATAAGAAAGCTAGTATTAAGCTGCTATTTTGCGCTGGTGTTCTGTAAAAGCGTGGCCCTACCCCGCTCGAGCCGACCCATTCCAAGTATTGGGAAAGTATAAAGTCCTTTGTTCTGTGAATTAAATGATGAATATTTTATAATTGCAGTGAAAATGAAGCTGAAGACCGACCTCTTAGTCCAGCCCTCGGGTGAGATTTCAAAGAAGATCCGTGAAGAGCTTAAAGAAGACATTAACACCCGTTATAAAGATTTGGCAGCGATAAAAGAGTGGCTCAGAAAGCAACCGCATTTGCCTGATGAATGGGGTAAGAAATGAATTGTTAATTATCCAATCATCCATCCGTTACAGCCTATAACAGTCCACTGCTAAACATGGCCCTCCCCTATAGATTGCCGCATAGGCAAGATTTCCCATAGTTAGCACACTTGTCAAACGGGTTGGCAACCGCATTTTTTTTAATAATTTTGAATTGTTATCAATAAGACGCTGCTGCCCATCTCCTGGTTTGTTTCCTTTTGTCGCCTCTTACGACACCCACGGGACGATATCTGATAGTGGATTCTTACATCGCCACTACACGATCAGTCATTTTTTTATAGTATAAGGGTGACAAACGAGCACACAGTCCACCTGATGGTAAATGGTTGCTGTGGCCCATAGACATCTACATCTATCTTCGTTTGCGAATTAAAATGCAGATGCGTTGTCGACCGTGAGGACTAAGATAGAATGCCTCTTTTTCAGTAAAATGGGTCTCCGGTTCTCTACACTCACTTAATTAAGCTGCTATTTTACGCTTGTATTCTGTGAGAGCGTGGTCCTTCCAAGGTCACACCGACCCATTCGTGCTACAACTATACTATTAATATAGCTGCAGCATAGCTCTAACACGTAAAATCAAAAAAATTATAAACATCCTTTTATTTCTTTTTATGCATTGTAATATTTTTTCTACCGACTTTAAAAACGAGACGGTACTCAATTCACTGCATGTTCTTCTTTTTTTATGTGTGTTAGCTTTTTTCTGGGTGAACCGACTTCAATGATTCTTTTCTTATTTGAAAGCTGGTGCTTCTCATGTGGTCCCATATAAACGATGTTTGATTAAGGTTTGACCAATAGTTTTTGAGTTATTCTTAATAATTTATATTGAAGTCGGTTGTACAATTGTTTTTCTAAATTATTTAAATAACGAAGTGACAAACGAAAAATCCACCTGAAGGTAAGAAGACCTAACCACCTAAAGAAGGGCTACTGCAGCCCATGGACACCTGCAACCGACTTCAATCAAATAACTAAATATACGTGGTAGAGCCTTGCTGCAGCTATATTAATAGTATGGTTGTAGCACGAATGGGTCGGCTCGACCGGGGAAGGACCACGCTCTCACAGAATACCAGCATAAAATAGCAACTTAAAGCTGCTGTGTTTCGTATGGTGAGTGTAGAGTACCGGAGACCCTTGTTACTAGAAACGAGGCATTCCATCTTGGTGCTCACGGGTGACAAAGCATCTGCATTTTGGTTCGTAATCGAGGATAGATGTAGCTGTCTGTGGGCCGCAGCAACCACTTACCATCAGGTGGACTGTGTGCTCGTTTGTCGCCCTTATCCTATAAAAAGAAGTACTGCTTGCCACCAGAAATAGGTAAGCAGGTTGTCTTTATTACTCATTGTTCTAATATTTATAAGAGGTAATAGATTATCATAATGTCGCCACCACGTTTCATAACATTTTATAATACTTTCTAAGTCTACGTATACAAACTTTATAATAACACAGTATCAAGAGTTATGAAACCGATTTATTACAACTAAATTACACAACTCAATCGATAATGTGAAAGCCGGCCATCGAAAATGAGCGGATCCGACACGACTGGAGAGAGATTATTATAGGCGCAGGACCAACGACTTTATGTGCTTTCTGAGACCTGGTCTAAAACACCGCTTACTACTACACAACCCAATAACTAACTATGGCCCAACTCGGGAATTGAACCTGGGACCTCATGATCAACAGACGCGTTTATGACCACTAAGCCGATGAGCCAATCAATATGCATATATGGCTTATATGGAGGATATGACACAGACTGTGTTCACATAGTCTATGGGGGGGCTATGTTAAATAGTGAACGTAGAGAATAATGAATGAATAATAGGTAAAAAAAAGAGTTTTTTATACGTAGTAGAGCCATGCAGCAGCTATATTACAGTTGAATCACGAACGGGTCGGATGTACCGGGGAATGACCACGCTTTCACAGAATACCTGCGTAATATAGCAGCTTACTTACTTACCGCTTGTTCACATGTGATTCATGGGACAGAGAAAGGGTTAATTCCGCTGTGATTCATATGGTGAGTGTATAGAATCGGAGACCTTGTTAACTGGAAAGGAGTTAATGAAATAACGAGGCATTAAAAAAATATAAATAAAAATAAAAATTATTTATTTCGGACAACAAGATCCATAGAATTTGTTACTAAAGAAAAACTTACATCTATGTTAGTAATATAATTTGTACTCAATACTTTATTATTAAGCAGGACATAGTCCTGGCGATTATTTGTTTAATCAGTGGACAGTCCCCACTGTCGGCAATCTCACTCAGCACACTGTGGCCGCTGCCGCGCACTCTGTTTAGCAAGGATGCGGTTTTTTTTTCTGATTATTGCATCAAAGCTATCCACACCCGCCAGTGCAAACATCGCAGACGCGCTACAGTAGCACGGCAGCCGCAACAGCGCCCTAAATGCATTATTGTATTGAGTACGTAGGGCACTATACGCCTTTTTGGTGTAGTTGGTCCATAGGCTGCAAGAATAAAATGACGCACAATATGCTTTGAAAAGCGTGATCTTGACAGCGTCAGTGCAGCGACCATATCTATGCACCAACATATTCGCCCTGACCGACAGTGCCCTACGTTCTCTTTCAATGTCTTCATCGTCTTTAAGACTGTCAGTCAAAATATGTCCAAGATATTTAAAACTATAGACCCTTTCTAGTGGTTCGTTATAGAGCTTTATAGGGGGTACAACACTAGGACATTTACTGCCAGCCTTAAACACCATGAACTGTGACTTTTTGGTGTTATATAGTAAACCATGTGAGACAGCAAACTTTTGGCAAACACCGAGTAGAGCTCTCAGTGCACTAACTGAGGGTGCCAGCAGAACCATATCGTCCGCATAGCTGTTATTGTTCACACAGACCTTGCCGATATGGCATCCGACACGCATGCTGCTGAGCTCTCGAATCAGTGCGTCCATATACAGGTTGAAGAGCCTCGGCGATGTCAGCCCCCCTTGCCTCACACCGCACTCCATCCTGTATGGCTCGGATTATTCATTTGCCCATCTCACATAGTTCACCTGATTACTATACCAATATTTAAGCAAATCGGTGTAGCCGTCAGGTAAACCTACGCCTTCTAACTTACGCCACATGATGTCGTACGAGACAAGATCGAAAGCTTTACTCAGATCTAGGAAACAGGCGTACACCGGTGTGCGCCTGTGCGTGTAATATTTGACAGTATGCTTTAAACTCATTATTGCTGTTTCTGTCGATAGACCACGCGTGAAACCGTGCTGGCCATCATGTAGCGTACAGTGGTTTTCTAGAATAGAGTTAAGCACACTGTCAAATATCTTGGCTATTGTCGTTGCCAATGATATTGGTTTGTAGTTCGATCTCTCTGATAAGTCACCAGTACGGTTTTTTACAATGAGGACAACTGAAGTTCTCATTAAGTCGGCAGGCAAGTACGAATGCGAAACACAAACATTAAATAATAGTGCCAAAAACACAAAACAGGCATTCCATCTTAGTCCTCAAACGTGACAACGCATGCATTTTGATTCTTAATTGAGAATATATGTAGAAGTCTATAGGCACACAGTCACACAGCATTCAGTTACTATCAGATGGACTGTGTGCTCGTTTGTCACATTATTCTACAAAAAAAGGTGACGAGACTTATTTTCGTTCACTGGACGGAATACTAACTGTGCAAATTGCATGACACCGAAATATCTTGCTACAACTTTAATTATTGTTACAGAGGATATGCCGCTAATAACGTTCCTTCGTGGTAGCAGTTTCTCCCTAGAGAAATGCAAAAGAAAATTGGACATGTATTTCACAATGCGCGCAGCGTGTCCCGAATTTTTCTCAAATCGAGATGCGACTAGTCCTGAGTTGAGGGAGATCTTAAACGGCAAATTGTAAGTATAAGGATTATATTTTTTAATATAATTTATTTAGTTTTATGTAATTTCCTTCAATTAGGTAATTTATTATTAAAAGTAAAAAAGTAAAGTTGCAGCCTATTTACGTTCCACTGCTGGGCACAGGCCTTCTCTCATTTCTGAGAGGGTTTACGGCAAGGAATTGTCCACCGCGCTGCCCTAATGCATGTTGGCGAACTTCACATGTCTTCGAATTATTTTTTTTCTCATTTCTCAGACACGCAGGTGTCCTCACGATGTTTTCCTTCACCGCCGAGCACGTGGTAAATCAGCACTTAAAATTGCAATTAACAATTTCATTGGTGCCGGCGGGGATCGAACCCGGGTTGCTCGAGTACTGTGAAGCTTACAGCGAGCGCTAACCATCTGAGCTACCACGTACTACTACTACTACTGCTTTACTATTGTTTATAGAATAAGGGTGACAAACGGTCACACGGTCCACCTGATGGTAAAAGAATCGAAGATACGACGTCAAACCAAAGGAATAAGATAGAGTAGGTACATCCTTACCAGCAAAACGGCCCCATAGTGCATTGGTGGCTTAATCTCAGGACTATGAGCCGCGGGTTTCAATCCCGTACTAAACAAGCGTTTGTATTTATTAGTGCGATCTACATAAATCACACATGGACAAACATCTATACCCGGAACAAACATTTGGCCTATAAATGTTTGTTCCAAATATAGATGTTTGTCCACATGTGATTTATGTATGTAAATCGCGATACAGGAGAAAATCTTGGAAAAACCTAGCATTTATACGAAAAAAATTAGAAAAAAAAATAATAACAATAAGAAAAGGATTTCTCTACAATAATAATTTGAAATACCTAACAGTATTAAGCTTTTATTTTACGCTGGGATTCTGTGAGAGCGTGGTCCTTCCTCGGTCAAGCTGACCTATTTGTGCTACAACAATAATATAGCTGCAACTTGGCTCCACCACGTCAAAAATATTACTATTAATAGACTGTTTAAGCACCATTTCCCGGGAATTTCCTTTATATAACACAGTCAATATACGTAAGAAACGAGAATATTCATTTAATTTCTAAAAGTTACTTAACATACACAAATAGTACTAACAATATTTGTTAAGAAATATCAATACAAACTAACATAAAAGACCACTTCCTGAACAAATATAGACACATCTTAGAGAAGCATAACTTGAAAACGTACTGTTGGCTAATCCTTCGGCACCATCACTAAATTCTGGTCACGCAAATTCAACAATAAACGTGTTAGTATTAAAGTCGTATTTCCCACCAGTCATCACGTTAAGGAATATCAGCCTTGGTTTACCTCAAGGTCAATGTGTCGTGGTCACTTGGGGACTGCGTAATACATTACTAAGCAATAAACGATGGAGTAAACAATAATTAAGCAAACAGTTTACGATATATTGCATACTATTTAAATATTAGCCAACATAGTTTAAATAGAAGAGAATAGAGAGAGAATAGAATATTTTTTACTTAATTTAGATTCCATAACATAATATACAATATTAAAAGCTATAATAATAATAAAACACAAAAAAACTAAAACTACAAACTTAATTATCATATAGTCCTACTCCCCGCGGTAGCGTGCCAAGAACGCTGGCTGCGTTTCCCCGCTGAATGACTACACTTATCCTTTGAGCGAGAAAAGAACCAGAAAAGAACTAGATATAAATTATAATAATACAAAAAAGATTTTTTTTTTTACTTTTACCACTAGTCTGAAATTAAACCTCTATCGTGGGAAAAACCAGCAAGAAAATCAAGGGAACTTTTTTGTCAAGTGTTTACAATAAAAACACGTTCACATACAACTGATCTGGATATTTAAGAAATCAAGATGTGTAGTGCCGGGAGAACAATTGGGTGACTAGTACTCCCAAAGTAGTATACTTATGGAAATCTATATGGCGTTAGCACAGTCTCTACTAACATATTGCATCCCAATCTGGGGAGGGACGGGTAAAAGTAAAATGCTGGAGGTGGAACATGCATAACGTGCTCTTTTAAAAGTAATGCACTTCAAAAAAAGAAGGTTTTCAACTGATAAATTTTACTCCATCAGTATAGTCCTATCAGTGAGAAAGCTGCATATTCTACTCACTGTATTAAAAAACATAAGACCTTAACCTACGATGGTAGCATAAAACAGAAAGAAGAAGAAAAGCAGTTGCTGCATTAAATAAAACCAAAACTTCATTTGCTAGTGAACAACACTCAAGTCACTCTGGGTTACTATATAACAAATCGAACTGAAGTAGAGATCTACAGCAAAACATATAAGGAATTTTTAACTCCCTTAAATTATGAGGAAACAGAGACATTATTGCAATACAAATACTAAATGAACATATACACATATGTAGCCGGTGGAAGGAAAAGGGGAGATCTCCCGCCGGGCAAGGTGTTCTGCCCGGGGAGCGGCCAACGCTCCAAGTTGTAGTTCGGAGCTATTCTATATATACTGCTTTAACTTCGGAACTTTGTAAGCGCGATTTAGGCTTCGATTTTTTTTGCTTGTGGCGAGACGACAGCGCCGCCATACATACATACACCCATACTTAATACATACTCACACACTACGCATACAACATGCACAAATTTATATACAACACCACATATTACAACTACCTGATACACTTACACATATATGAAATACAACCTAATAATTATTGATTTATTGATGTAGTAATGCTATGAGATTGATGGTAGGATACTAAAGTCATGATTTTACTGTCTTTATTATTCCCTATGAGATACTTTATTTTGTTAATAATACTGTAATTTTTAGCTATGGAAGAGCCAAGTCACCTGTTACAGACATTATTTTGCTTACTAGGTGACCTCGATCACTGATCATATGATGTAACTTTAATGTTTGACGAAATAAATAATTTATTTAAAATTTATTTTAGAAACAATTAAGAAGCGAATACCTTATTGTCTGGCTCCGATGAAATTATTAATTGCAATTTAAGGTGTTGATTTAAAGCAGTCTTGTCAAATTCATCATTCACTAAAGTAAAGTTACCGCCTATATAGTATATATAGGCGGTAACTTTACTTTAGTGAATGATGAATCAACTTTACTTTAGTCCCACTACTGGGCACGGGGCTCCTCTCACTTCTGAAAGGGTTTTAGGTAAAGGAAGTGTCTGCCGCGCTGCCCCAATGCGTGTTGGCGGATTTTTTTGGCATTTCTCAGCCAGCTGGTTTCCTTACAGTGCTCGGCGGTGAAGCAAAAAAGGTAAGAAATCATGCATGGCTAGAGAAATAAAAAAAAATTAGAAGACATACATATGAAGTCCGTCACCAAGTATTGGAACTGCGCGGCGAATATTTCCTTGCTCAGAAGTGGGACGTATATACCCTGTAACTTAAAGATTATAAATAATACTTACTGAAAGTATTTTTTCCTTTAGTTTTACCACTGGTTTGGAAACAAACCTCTATTGTGGAAATTAACAGTACTAGCGTCCCTTTTGTCTAGTTTTACGATAAAATACATAGAAGGATAATCTATTTGAAAAAAAAAATCAATAGCCGCATGTATGAAAGATCACCGTTCGATAACAGCTGGACCGATTTTGAAATGAAATTTTTATGCGTTTGAGTTGTTCCCTGGATTTTTGCTGTTTTGACTGTTTGATTTTGACGCTGTTTTCGAGATCCAGAAACCACCCGTGCGAAGCATAGTATAAAACAGTCGCTTCCCGCCGTCTGTACGCTTACATCCTTTAAACTAAGCAGCATATTTTGATTTGGTTCTAATTAATAGACATAATGATTTAATAAAAAGGTTTATATATTATTGTAATGTATTTAAAGGGTGATAATATAATAATATAAGCGGGTAGGAAAAGAATTGTCAGTCTGCTTTGAGCGATTAAACTGCCTGCTACGTAATTCGTATTTTATTGTAAATTTATTCCTAAAGTACAATTATATAATTCTTCTATCCGTGTATATGTAACTAAATTATATGTAAACAGCAGGACCGATTTTGATGAAAGTTTGTGTGTGATTAAGTTGATTAGAAAATGGTTTAGATTCACAATTGGATCTTGTAGGTGGCATTGTTGTCGAGATCAAGAAATCAACCGTGCGAAGCCGGGGCGAATCCTAGCATTCGATTTGTTATAAGAATCACTGTTGAAACCTTATTCCTAATAGTTAATCGACCATGTATCTTTTAATATTATAATTACCCTTTTTAATCAAATTGCAAACGTCAAAACGAAGCCAACCACGATTTCTACCAGAGTTACACAATTGCGCTACAGGAACCGCAGCATTTTTACATGGTAAAGCCACGATGCAGCTATATCACAGAATACCAACCTAAAATAGCAGCTCTACGCTGCTGTGTTTCGTGTGGTGAGTGTAGAGAACCGGACGCACTTTTTACTGGAAACGAAGCATTCCATCTTAGTCCTCAGGGGTGGCAACGCATCTGCATTTTGATTCCTAATCAAGGATAGATGTAGATGTTTATGGGCGACAGCATCCACTTATCATCAGGTGGACTGTGTGCTCGTTTGTCACCCTTATTCTATAGAAAAATCATAGTAAAAAAAAAACGAAAAAGACGTCATTATCTTTTGCCAAGTTAAAAATGTATTGTTCCATTTCTTCCCCTAAAAATTGACCTGGCAATAAATTGATCTGACTGCCTTATTGTGTTAATACCTGTTCGGGATGATATAGTTTGTTGCGTTTTTCTATCAAGATAATCGCAGAAGCAGTCCTCGGAAAGCACGTGAAGCTGTTCGTATTGCGCCTGATATCTCTTCGGTCATGTCGGTTGCATCTGACTATGAGAGTGAAGGAATAGATAGTACACCTGTGATGGCGCAAAAAGGAATTTTTGTAGAAATTCCTAAACACAAGTGATAAACCTTGTGTTTAGGAGGTCTCTATATGACTCACGAACCTGGAAGTAGCAGTGACTGGGTTCAAAGAAGTTATTAAAAGGTTTCTAAAGAAGACTAGATCAGAACGTTTTGGAAATTGTTTCTAAAAATGACGGACATCTTCGGCGCTGAGGAGTGCAGAATTGACTCCGGCATTTTTTGTGCTAGGTAAACTTGTTTATTTATTTTAAAATTAAATTTATTTTTCTTATTACAGGCAAGGTCCACCACTCCCTGGAGTTACACCGAACGGAAGAAGAGTTACCATTTGTCGAGGTAAGAGGCTACATTGGTTAACTCCTAAACAACAATTATATTTACATTTATCACCATCATTAAGAACCTTTTCATTAAGGCGATACCCCGACCAAAACCTTGCGATAGTGCGTTTTTCTTCGTTATTCAGAGACTATTATCTCATTAGTTTTGAGAAATAAATTACATCTAAAAGCACATTATTAATGTTCGATATCCTATCATCACATTCCACGTTCTAATTTATTTATGTTATAAATACATTTAAAATCTACTTTTAAAAATCACTAAAATTATTGATTACATGCATCTGTTGCTAAAGGCAACGCTCTAATCATTTGAGGATTACACTAATGGGTATATAATTTAAACATCTATATTATTCACGTTTTATTTAATTTTTAAAGTTCGCTTTTCTTTTTTTAATTAAAATTAATTCCAAAAATTGTGTGAATTCTATGATAAATGGGCGTACGCAGAGTGCGGGCGGCAGAGCACTGCATGCTCAAGGTTATTTGGTCAGGGAAACGCCTTAACATATGGGAAACATTTTTCATAATTGCCACGCTTATCTCGTAGTACCCGATAATTTGCGACTTAGACGATGTTTCTCGTTACCGATCTGATTATTTCCATGTTCAAATCCAATTTTCAATCATCTGGTGATACCGAAGTCACCTGTTAAAGGACATGAAGTTTTCTTCAATTTCCCATTATCTCTTTTTCAATACCCAAAGGACATACCGGAGTTGGGGATTATTTTAAGCCGCCATCACACGGCCTAGTTCCATAGGATGTTGATTAGAGTATTTTTAAATACGTGAAAACAAAATAAAAATCCTTCCGTATCAATGGGACCTTACAAGTTGAAATCCTTGCGCCATAGCTTCATCGCAAATTACCTAACACATCACGTACTGAATTAACATAAAGAAGCAATCCAACCAGATGTCGGTTATTATACGGGAATGTGATGAACTAGGATCTTAATATCCAGTCCATTTACATGGCTATTGAATTGTTAGGACTGTATATATCACGTCAAAATGTATGTAATATGATGTAATAATATGCAATGTAGGTACGAAATTACCAGATTTAGTTCTAATAGGTTTTTAATTACAAGAATATATCTAAAAAAGTAAAGTTTGTACTAAGTACAGATCAAAAATAAAATACTTTGCATGATTTCTGTTCTCTCCTAATAATTGATTCTGCTTTTTTATTCATATTTTTTTCTTATTTAGATACATAATTTATTTAAATAATTTTATTGTATTGATTAGCTATAGGAGTACATAATAATATCATATATGTATTCCGTCCAACCAAATTAATCCAAAATTAAGTTTGCATATAACTCAATCTGAGAATGTTGTGTATACTTGTATTTGATATGTATTATATTTTACATGGTAGTGCCATACTGCAGCTATATTAGTAGTATAGTTGTAGCAAGTTTGGTTCGGCTCGACCGGGGAAGAACCACGCCCTCACGGAATACCACCGTAAAATAGCAGCATAACGCTGCTGTGGCACGAGGCATTCCATCTTAGTCCTCACGGGTGACAACGTATCTGCATTTTGATTCATAATCGAGGATAGGTGTAGATGTCTATGGACCACAGCAACCACTTAACATCAAGTGAACTGTTTGCTCGTTTGTCACCCTTATTCTATAAAAAAATGCATATCAGAGAGTGCAGTGAATGTGAATGTTTTCGTGATAATGTCATATATATGTATTGTAAGTGTAAAATAAATAAATTAATGTATTTGTTGCTATCCAGGCATACACCCAAGTCTTGACGGTCAACAAATCACCGATACACTGAAGCTGGCACTTATGATCGGTGACATCCGCCTGAGCGAAGAAGTGGAAGGCGTTGCTGGCGACATCTACGTACTGGACGCAGCAGTGCTTGGTCCCAGTCTTCTAGCTCGACTTTCTCCCGCGGTTATTAAGAAATTTATGATTTGCGTACAGGTAAATTCGTGTTCTTGTCAAACCAATATTAAATATTTTCAGGTTTTTCTTAATATATACCAATATAGTGAACTATAGGAGAAGAGAAGTAAAAAAAAAATAAACTTAGCTTAACTTAACTTGTAAATCCTCTCGCGTAGTCGTATCGTGATATAGTATCAAAACACGTCCATACTTTCACCGCTTTGACAGCAGTGGTTTTGCCACGGAGCAAACTCCGTGGAATTTGCAATCAGTTGCGATGCTGAGGGCCTCGAGGACGTGTTCGAATCCCTCACGGAACAAGTGTTTGTATAGTCTACAAATAATTGTTCCGAGTCTGGACGTTTGTCCTTATGCAATTTATGTATGTAAACTGAATTAAGTTTGAGACAAATAAGGCTTAATATATCTTTTCTACATTGAAATAGGCCCACAGCCTGGCCTATGACGGACATATAAAGAAGGAAAGAAAAAGAGCTGAAGTAAAATATCCTCTATAATATAAAAATGAATCGCTAAATGTGTTGCTAAGCGGAAATCTCGAGAACAGCTGAACCGATTTCGCTAATTCTTTTTTTATAATATTCTGTGAAGTACGAAGATGGTTCTTACGAAGAGAAAAATTTTAAAAGTTGCCTGAAAAAGTCTAAAAACAACACTTTTCTATATTCCCATACAAGATTCATAATAATACTTAAAAGTCAATTTGAACTTTAAAACCATAACATAAAGTTTAAGTGTTAGTGGAGGGGTTCCGGGAAGGCAAAACATTTGAGTGACGTTAGTATCGCATAAATATTAATGTCAATATTTGTCAATATTTATACACACTGGCAGATAGCTGATGTTATAAGGAGTAACTTGGGCTACTTTTATTTTAGGCTTCCGCGTAAAATAACTCCACGCGGGCGAAGTCGCAGGGAACAGCTAGTTTACAATAAAGATGAATAGCAAATGTCGACCAAGCGAGCTACAGAGTTCAGAGGTCTGCCACACCAGTTTTGAACCGTAATCTACAGTCTAATTAGCGATTTAGTAACCCAGTGGCTGCGTTTCTGTGGAACTGCGACTTCGAATTCCGCACGGAGCAAGTATTTATATGGCCTACAAATTATTGTTCCAAGCTTTACTGTTTGTATATGCGTGATTTAAACAATTTATGTATGTAAAACTTTCCGACGATACAGTCACAAATTCGAGTCTGAAGGACACATTTCTCAAAAAATACGTCTAACAATTGGCGATAAAGAAAAATATCATAGGAGAAGACCGACGTCTCCCAGAGTTTGGAAGTCCATGCAGGATTCTTTGCATTGTTACCTCTTAAAACATCCACTGGACAAAATAGGGCGATGGAATCTGTTGCGCAGCCACCACACAATGTCATATTTATTTAATCAAAATAATTTATTGCCTTCTAACAATACTGTCCTTCTAAAAGTTGCCTGAAAGACTGATTTTAACCACGTTTAGGATATGGACAGTGTTATAGTTAGAATCAATATACCGTAAAATAACAGTATTAATAGTAACCGATTTATTTTTTTCTCTAAATAATTTTTTTGTTCATTTTTAAGATTTGGTATAAAATCCTATTCATTTACTAGGCGGTAGCACTCCTTCTCTGACTACGAATCCGTCCGTGTAGATACCACCCTCTTTAAATCTGCCGCCTGATAACTGTGCTTGCACTGCTGTATTCCGGTCAGAGGAGTAAGGAGAGCCATTAATTACAGGCTGTGTGAGACATTCCATCTTAGTGCACAGAGGCGACAACGCAACTGCCTTCTTTATTTGAATTTGGTTGCAGGTGTTCACGGGCGGCAGTAGCCAGTTACCATCAGGTGGACAGATAACCCCTCATTGTTTCATGGTTGATTCTATATCTCTATTATAGTAAATAATAATTCATTTATTACAGGAGGCCTATCCCGTCAAGCTGAAAGAAGTACACATAATAAATACATCTCCTATCGTAGAAAAATTCGTAACCTTTGTTAAACCTTTCCTAAAGGATAAGATCAAAAAGAGGGTAAGTGAAATATATCAGCTTAGAAGAAATGTCGATTAATCAGTAAGTCAGAGCACATAGGCAGAATTGGCGAGAAACTAGTTCGCCTTCCTTCGGGAACCCGTGCATTCTGGTCTCTCGCCAAGGCTGTCCAAGGGAATTTCTGTAAGCCATCACTACCATCTCTGCACAGGGAGGACGACTCACTGGCCCAAGACGCAAAAGACAAAGCCGACCTTTTAGGCTCCCTTTTTGCGTCCAACTCGACTCTTGATGACGGGGGGAAAATACCGCCGACCATCCCGCGGTGTGAGTGCTCCATGCCGGATGTGCTATTCTCACAGCGCTCAGTTCGCAAAGCACTTCTCTCCCTGGACATCCAGAAGTCGAGTGGGCCTGACGGAATCCCCCCAATTGTGCTGAGGACGTGTGCTCCGGAGTTGGCACCGGTCCTAACGCGTCTTTTCCGGTACTCCTACTCCCAAGGCGTAGTCCCGAATTCATGGAAGACAGCTTTTGTCCACCCGATCCCTAAAAAAGGCGACCGCTCAGACCCGTCCAACTATAGGCCTATCGCGATCACCTCCTTGTTCTCCAAAATAATGGAATCCATTATTAACTGCCAGCTCATCCGGTACCTTGAGGATCACCAGCTGATTAGTGACCGCCAATACGGTTTTCGTCGGGGTCGATCAGCTGGTGATCTTCTGGTCTACCTGACCCATAGATGGGCGAAGGCAGTAGAGTCCAAGGGGGAGGCGTTGGCCGTTAGTCTGGACATTGCGAAGGCCTTTGATCGGGTTTGGCACAAAGCGCTTCTTTCGAAGCTGCCTTCCTATGGGCTTCCCGAGAAATTGTGCAATTGGATCACCAGCTTTCTTGCAGATCGGAGCATCAAGGTCGTTGTAGACGGTGCATGTTCTGACTACAAGCCTATTAACGCTGGTGTTCCACAAGGCTGTGTGCTATCACCAACGCTGTTTCTTCTGCATATCAATGATATGTTGCTAACTGGTAACATTCATTGCTATGCGGATGACAGCACTGGTGATGCTCTATACACCGGCCGGGCCAATATTTCTCGGGAAAACGTCGCCGAGTACCGGAACAAACTTGTGTCTGAAGTCGAGTCTTTGCTGGACAAAGTCTCGGATTGGGGGCGACTAAATCTAGTCCAGTTTAATCCTCAGAAGACACAAGTTTGCGCGTTTACCGCTAAAAAGAACCCCTTTGTCGTATCTCCTCAGTTTCAAGGTACTCCCCTTGTTGCCTCAGCCAGTATCGGTATCCTCGGAGTCGACATATCGAGTGACGTGCAGTTTCGTGGTCATTTGGAAGAGAAGGCCAAATTGGCCTCTAAAAAGCTTGGCGTGCTCAGCAGAGCGGGACAGTATTTCATGCCGGCACACCGCCTGCAACTTTACAAGGCGCAGGTTCGGCCTCACATGGAATACTGTTCCCATCTCTGGGCAGGGGCTCCCCAGTGCCAGCTCCTTCCACTTGACCGCATCCAGCGCAGAGCGGCTCGAATCGTCGACGACCGAGCCCTTTCCGATCGGCTCGATTCATTGGCACTGCGAAGAGATGTTGCATCTCTTTGCATTTTCTTTCGCATCTACCATGGGGAGTGCTCTGAGGAATTGTTCGGATTAATCCCAGCCGCCAAATTTCACGAACGCACATCGCGGCAGAACTCCCGATACCATCCACACCATCTGCATGATTGGCGGTCCACCACTGTGCGATTTAGAAGATGTTTTCTTCTTCGCACAACTTCCTTGTGGAATAGTTTACCACCAGGGATTTTTCCGGACCGATACGACTTAGGGACCTTCAAGAAAAGAGCCTACTCCTTTTTAAAAGGCCGGCAACGCATCTGCAATTCCCCTGGTGTTGCGGTTGTTCATGGGCGGCGGTAGTCACTTACCATCAGGTGAGCCGCATGCTCGTTTGCCCCCTCTCCTATAAAAAAAAAAAAAAAGAATAAAATATTATAGTATATATTATAGTAAATAGGTTTTTATGAACTACTATCACGCTGCATCTGTATTATGATTGCAACACGAATTGCTCGGCTTGACCAGAAAAAGAGCCACACTCTACAGAATACCAGTTTCGTATGGTGAAGAGAACTGAAGACACTATTTACTTCAACGGGGAATTTCTCATACCTCAGGGATAATTTTACATCTGCATTTTGACTCTTAAGAAGGATAAATGAAGATATTTATAAGCCACAGCATCTACTTACCATCAGTTGGACTGTGGGCTCGTTTGTCACACTTAAACAGATCAATATAATCTATTCTCTTTACTTTACTGTTTCAGATCTTTATTCATAAAGAATTAAAGGATTTGTACAAGTATGTTCCTCAAGAAATGATGCCGAAGGAATACGGTGGTCAGTGCGGTACCATGGAGGAACTTCAAGGTAATTTAATGTATATATTATTCATACTATAGGCTACTGTATAATGGAGACGTTTTACATAGCACATAGATTCGTTTTCATTCTCAATAATGAAAATGCTCCCTACCCCGCGCTTATTCGGCATGCTTGGCTGGCGGCTTAACGATCACAGTACAAGATGTTTTACGTCTTTGACACTGCAACGTTCGTCGGTACGGGTATTTTGTATACATGTGTATATATGGATTTTGCCATAGTTGCCACGCTTAGCACGCTACTTTGGCAACCGTAAATCAGGAAAGTTCTGCTGTCCAACTCCTGTTTACGTTTACTTCTGTTGTGACTTACGACATCTACGGGACGATATGGAGTAGTGAATATTCTTACACACATCATCAACAAGTCCACTGCTGAACATAAGTCTCCCCCAAGGAATGCCACAAAGCACACACACACACACGCGCGCGCGCGCGCGCGTGCACACACACACACACATACACACACACATACATACATACATACATACACATACACACGCACGCACGCACGCACACACACAGATATAATAATATTTCCGATATTAGTAATATTAATAGCACTGCGCTCGATGATTTATGTACATATTAATTTATACTTCTACCGTTTCAGATCAGTGGACACAGAAGCTAATAGACTACCGTGAATGGTTCCAATCCCAGGAGTCAGTTAAGGCTAATGAAAGCCTTAGACCTGGAAAACCAACTAACTACGACGAACTCTTCGGTATAGATGGCTCATTTAGGCAATTGGCTATTGATTAATTACTTGATTTCATGATTTAAGGATCTTATTTTGTAATTTTTGTCATAGACTAATTTAAGTTAGTGAATCCTGTCGAAATCAAATCCTCAGATCAAGAAAGAAAGATATATAGAGACCGCGCTTTATTTCTTGCTTACTTACACCAACATGTTTCTTCTTTATTCTTTAACTTCCCGTAAAAGTCCACCGTTGGATGCACACATATGCACCTATGCAAATGATTTTGTATGCATGTGCGCAGTGTGCATGTTGTTAGTTAAATATGGTTTCAGCTTGGTTTCTTTCGTCACTTAAAGTGTACGTAGTATTTTATCAATTTTTTATTGGTCATGATCCTGATCCTTAAGTTAAATAACAAAAGAATATAAAGTAGAATCTAAGAAATTATAAACTTTGCTTTCAATCGCGTTTATTGTGAATATTCGTAATAATAACTGTGGTTGTAGGTATTGTTAAAATGAAGTTATTGCTGCTTGATTTTTATATTAATGTTGTTGAATTCGCCAGTATTATGAAATATTAATGTTCATGTGTTGTTACTAAATTACGAGTCAAGGTTTAATCAATGATATTTAATTTATATAACTTTCTATATAATTTCGGCGTACTTTGTATTATGATTTATGAGGAGCTAAATTTTGTAATACTTTTTTAACTAAAATAATAATTTTCGGATTATATTTTTAGAGAAAACACATTTTATGCACATAAGAAACACCATGTGCATAAAATGTGTACCATGGAATAAAATTCTAAAAATTTTTTCTGCACATTTTGTAATAGCTTGAAAATAAGATTTCAATTTCACAAACTCAATGGCATTTAGAAAAATAATTTGTATCTATTCAATAAAATGTAGGCTTTACACGTAATGTTTTTGAATTATCTTTTATTCGAAAATCAAATGTGATAAGGAATAGATTAGGCTAGTTATCTAATTTACTATTTTAATAATAATTTCTTGACTTAGGCCTTCTCTCTACCTCTTATATGATTCTTTTTAAATCGATTGCTAAAAAAGTAATAAATTTAGACCAAATTCACATTAGTCTAAGAATATACTTAGAATTTTAATCCATATAGTTTTCTATAGTAAAATGCCAATATTAATAAAACATTTCATGAAATTTGCTTTTAGACATAGAATTTTAAATCGGGCAATTTTATGATATCCTTTTGTTTATAATAAAGAATTTCTGAATGCAAATTTAATTTATAGTAAGTATAATATACTTTCTTTATAAGAATAGTTAGTTAAAAATGTTTCGTTTATGAAATAAAGAGAAAGGTGATAGTACAGCTCTTTTCATTTATAATAGAATAAACCTACATTTCTAGTCATGGCGAAGGTCGAATCAGAATGAGGGCTTCCACGACTTTTCTGCCACCAGGGCGGCGACACTTAAAAGTGAGGTATTATATTCGACAGATTTCATAGCGGGAAAGTAAATTTTTTCGAAAAATGTAAAGGGTAATATTTGTTTCTGCAATATTAGCTATATTTTATATTAAAAAGATTAAAGATAAATAAACCAAATCACAGATATTCATAAAAGCAGATTTTTTTAAAAGTTAAAAATATGACAAAAAAAATAAAGTACAAACCACTAATGCATTGTTTTGTGTCTTAATATAATACTCTAGAAACTGATAAACAGTTATCAAAAACTAACTTCTCAATTAAATTACATTCTGTAACAAAAAACTTTTACCTTAATGTCAACTAGCGACATCTGGTGAGCAGAAAATTATTAGCCCTCTCTCTGAAATTTGTCGAGACTGTCAAAGAAGCAGACAAAACTCAATCCTATAACTACCATTTGCCTTAATGTTACGTCATGCAAAATACTCGTATTTGTGGTTAAAAATGAGTTTTGGGTCCTTCTGCCGACCGCAACATTGATTCACTAAAATTGATAGTACCTGATTACCATATCATACATACCCGAAGCCAAAAGCTCGAGCCGACGTCCCGCGAGTCTTTTATGCTGACCGCTACGCCCAACGCTCTTGATTTTCTTTTATAGAATAAAGATGACAAAGGAACACAATCCATCTGATGGGTAGTGGATGCTATGGTCCCTAAACACGTGTATCTTCACTACATGTATCCTCGATTAAGAATTAAGCGCAAATGCACTGCCACACCTACTGGCAATGCTATGAACATTACTAGTATTCCCAGAATGGTTCGCAACCCTTGCCCCGACGGGTTATAAGCATGCCGTGGACAGTAGCCATGGCATGAAATAACCGGAACCCAGATGAATACTATAAAATAATATAAATATGACCTGGTGGACTGCGGAGAGTGATCTCGCTCAATATTAAAAGTTACCTGCCTTTATAAAAGCTATACCGATTTTAAATTTGTTCTGTGCCTATGACCCACTCGACTTCCGATTGATGTATGCGATGCTCTGGTGACTGACTGATGGCATAATTTCTTACCAGGTTATCACTCCATCTAGTGAGGGTCCGCCCCATACTTCGTCTACCGGTAAGAGGCTGCCACTCGAGAACTTTTCTTCCCATTGGATGTCGGTTCTTCGAGCTATATGGCCGGCGCATTGCCACAATCTTACTAATCTGTTGGGCTATGTCGATTAGTCTGGTTCCACTGCGGATATCCTCATTTCTAAGTTTATCACGCAGAGAAACCCCGAGCATAGCCCTCTCTATAGATCGCTAGTCGACTTTGAGCTTCCTCATACGGCCAGCAGTGAAGGACCACGTCTCAGATCCATAAGTCATCACTGGCAACATGCACTGGTTGTACAATCTTGTTTTCATGTTTTGAGGTATACCTGACTAGAAAATGTGTCGTAATCTCATGAACGCTGCCCATTCAAGTTGAATCCGTCGACTGACCTCTCGGATGAAGTTTTACCTACTCGGACTATTTGTCCCAGGTAAACACACTCGTCAACAACTTCGAGCTTAGTGCTCCCAACAACTACCGGCATAAGTTTGACATGGACGTTACACATGATCTTTGTTTTGTACATGTTCATCTTAAGACCTATCCGTTGCGAGGCACTATTGAGGTCATTGAGCATAGTGCTTAGGTCCTCTAGCGATTCTGCCATAAGGACTATATCGTCGGCAAATCGAAGGTGAATGTGTTAGTCATTAATGTTAATACCGTATCCTTTCCAGTCCAGTAGCTTGGAAACGTCTTCCAATGCAGCGGTGAAGAGATTCGGGGATATTACGTCACCCGGTCTTAGACCTCTCTGCAGTTGGAAAGGCTGGTTCCGTACTCGGATAGCCATCGTACCCCTACTGTACAAACACTTCAGCACTTTCATATAAATACAGTCAACTTGGCACCGCTGAAGGGACTGCAGCACCGCCCAAATTTCAACGGAATTAAAGACTTTCTCATAGTCCACATACCCAAGACAAAGTGGCAGATAATACTCTTCGGTCTTCTGTACAAGCGAAGCGTCAGTAGCCTAATGGCAGGGCGTGGACCGCGAACTCGAAAGGTCGTGGGTTCGAATCCGCCATTCGACTACTGTCGTGAACCACTTCTAACACAAGCATTTTAAGCTTACCAGAAGTGGTTAAAGGGAATATTAGTAATGTTTAATAGCATTACTAGTATTTTTTTTAAATAAATTGCCGAAGGGTATGTATGTGGTATATGGTGCTAAAGCCTTTTCGGAAACAGGCTTGTTCGGGAGGCTGGAAGTCGTCGAGACTGCGTGCGAGACGATTCGTAATGACTCTCGAAATTAGAACGTAGACGTGACTCAGAAGGTAAATCGATCTGTGGTTCTTCAAGAGAGCGTTGTCACCTTTCTTTTCTACGTGGTAGAGCCATGTTGCAGCTATATTATGGTTGTAGCACGAATGGGTCGGCTCGAACGGGGAAGGACCACGCTCTCACAGAAAACCAGCGTAAAATAGCAGCTTAATGCTGCTGTGTTTCGTATGGTGAGTTTAGAGAACCGGAGACCCTTTTTACTGGCAAAGAGGCATTCCATCTTAGTCCTCACGGGTGACAACGCATCTGCATCTTGAGTCTTTATTGAGGATAGATGTAGATGTCTATGGGTCACAGTAACCACTTCCATCAGGTGGACTGTGTGCTCGTTTGTCACCCGATCCTATAAAAAAAAAACGATACCATGCCTATGCCTCTGGAGTAGTGCCGGAAGTAGAATAGTGTAGAACGGAACTAAAGAGCTTTCGGAGTACTTCAAGTACAGGTTTTCCACCTACTTTCGGAAAGGTTGCTGTAATTCCATCCTAACCCGGGGGCTTGCCGTTTTTAGGTGCTGGAGAGCCATTCTAATCTCACTTAGACTGTTGTCCAGTATATTATTGGAATAGTGTCCGATAAAACGATAACCCTGAACCCAAATTTTACAGACTTGGATTGGGGTGCAACATTAGTATATGTGTGTGGATTCTATCTCTACGCTCAACTAGCCGCCTGCGCATCACGGTGAGTACGGAAACAAGCCTTCCAAGTGACGCTGGCCAGCTGGAGCATTCTAGCCGTGGACTAAAAGAGCCTGTTCATACGATTTGTGTACATTTCCAATCGATATCTTATATTCTTCTTTTTTTTATTGGTCGCTTCCGTTGTAGATCGGATTTGCTCTATCGCCACGTTAAACAGCCTGATAACGCAGTACAGTTATTCTATTTCACGATGAAGGTTTCGCCTTGATTGTAGTAGTGACGTGTACCGACAGGTGCGTTTGTGTGTGTATCTGCGATTCGTTCGACTCGCGATCGTGACTGAGCGCTCCCGAGGCCTACGCACACTAACACAATGTGTATGTGCACGCCTAACAACAACTAAAGTCAAATCTTTATCGTGAAACAGAATAACTATACCATCGCTGGTCTGAGTATTTAAAAAAAAATATTTTTAAACTTTCTAATTGATTTTTCGATTGATGTTATCGAATAACCACTTACTTCGACAGTCTAGAAATTAATAGGAAAACATAAAACATTAAAAAAATAAAAAAATATATTGAAATATGTAATTTATTACTGTGAGACAGTCGTGGTCTGACTTCTTAGGCTTTGTTAAACGGATAGTAAGGATGATCTCTCCATTCAACAATATCTACAACTCTTATATTCTTGTTAAACTTATTTATATTAGCAATTTCGTCTTCGGTTAAACTGAAATCGAATATGTCGATGTTTTGAATTATTCGCTCCTTATTTGTCGATTTCGGTATCGGAATGGTTCCTCGGTCAATCTAAAACAAATCGACAAATCAAAATAATATCAATTCCCTACTATAAACTGTATTTTTATAAGACAATTTAAAGACAAATGAAACAATCTTTTATTACTAACATAAAAAGTAAACTTAGCCGATAAAATTCCTATTTATACAGGGTTATTTTGCAATAACCGGCCAAATTTGCAGAAAGCTTAATAATATAGGCAAATAGTGAGGAAAAATTATTTTACAAAATCTCAAATATTCTGTCCTTTTATCTTTTAAATTCAAAATACATAGTAATGCATTATTTTATAACTGATTTTACTGCGCATTTGTAAGGGTCGATCAGTAGGCAAAAATGTTATTGAATTTGAACATTGAATTTGGGATAATTGCAAATAAAAGTAGAAGCCTTATTTACTCGTAATATCAAAATCTGTATTAATAGTATATCATTATTTATATATATGAACTTAAGTTTAAAATTTGGCTGTTCTTTGAAAAATAACCCTGTATGGATAAAACATACTAGCTTACATAGGAAGCTAAACATGAAAAAGCTTCATTTATAAATTTCAGCCTATAAACACCACAATTACCACGGTTGGCAGGCGGGTTCTGGATTGCACTTCAACACAATTTTTCAAACACTTAAACACCATCAGAGATCGATAAGTGAAAAGCTGGAAGTGGACAGAATAGTATGAAAATAATGTAGGAAAAGGTTAAAGTAAAACTTTGAAAGCCAGAACACGGGTACGCCTATTTAGGGGGCCGGTCCATTGTGGCGACACAGAGTGGAACTGTTGCGCAGGTAAATATAGAAACCGTGAAGAAAAATACCCCCTGCTCGAATGAAAAGAGGAAGGATTTATCATTTCCCGCAAAGACAAAAGCCAGGTGATGTCGATGATGGGGCTGCGGGTGTATGTGATGGCTAGCGTTGGTGTGGCTGCGAGTGACAGAGAATGGTCACGGAGGCTTGTTAAGCGGCAATAGTAAAACACCACTCGGGGCAAAGCCAATAATAAATTATTAAAAACTAAAATATATTTTTAATGAATAGCCGTGAAGTCGCTGTGTTTTTTTTTTTTGTTATGTTTATCTTTTCTTTGTGTACAATAAAGAGTATTGTATTGAAGTCGCTGCGTAGTGACGCCGTAAGAGAATATACTATCTCATAGAGGTCGTAAGAAGCTGTATAGGGAACCTGAAATAGGTGAGACGGGTGGCAGCATCTTCTTTATAACAGCTCCAAATAAATAAAAAAGGTGTGGCTGCAGTTGCCAACTCGCCTGCTAGGCATAGCAACTATGCAAATACCCCCTAGCCACTGACCGCGTCCTTGTATAATCGAGATCAGTGCCCTTACAGTATAGGATTTTTGATGCATCGTATTGATAATGAATGTTGAAATTAAGAAGTGAAAAAATATATTAAATAGACAAATATACAAACCAAATAACGGAGTACGACTTGACTTGTAGTTTTTCCATATTTTTCGGCAATTTTCGTCAACTCCGGATCATCGAATCTGGGTGAAAGCTTGTTTTCTTTTCTTCTGGACACCATAAAACCAAACGGGCTGTATGACATGACGTCAATATCAACACTTCTACAATAAGATATGAGCTGCTCTTGCGTTAATGTTGGATTGACCTGAAAATATATTTTAACATTAATTTTACTATAAAATGCTCTTGAATATTTTCCCACCTGGTGTGTGTGTGTTGCAGTGGTAGATAGTAAAACGCACCTGCTTGAATAATATGGTGCAACATGCGAAATTATGTAGTATGAAAACCATTTAAAGATTAAAAACGATTTTAATAAATCATCTACTAGATGGCTCCGTGGCGCAGTGACTACATAGACGGCTCCGTGGCGCAGTGGCTTAGCAATCAGTTGCTGCGTTGGGGGCCGCGGGTTCGAATCCCGCACGGAACAAGTATTTGTATGGCCTACAAACAATTGTTCCGGGTCTGGATGTTTGTCCTTGTGCAATTTATGTTTGTAAACTGCCTCCACGACACAGGAGAAAATCCTAGTGTGGGGGTAACGTTTTTTCATCTAAAAAAAAAAATAAAAAAATAAAAAAGAAATCTACTTTTATTTCTTCCGCTAATAAAGGTCCACTGCAGGACCTCCCTCGCTTTGCCGTTTTAAGAACGGTTTGACTTAATCCTCACGGTAGACAAGCGAATTAATTGATAATCGTTGTACTAGACGTCTAACGACGACGACGATGTAAAACGGTCACGGACTCTTCTCTCCGTAACCGTTGTATGTGGTACGCAGCAGCTATATTATGACTGTAGCACGAATGGGCCATTGGACCACGCTCTCACGGAATGAGGGCATCCACGATTTTTTCTGCCACCAGGACGGCGCCACTAGAAAGTGAGGTATAATATTTGACAGATTTCATAGCGGGGAAGTTAATTTGTTCGGAAAACGTAATTAAAAAACGTAAACGTTATTATTTCTTTAATATTAGTTATATTTTATATTAATAAGATTAAAAATAAATAAACCAAACCACAAATATTCATAAAAGTAGAAAAATTAAAAAAAAGTTAAAAATGCGCAAATAATTAAAGAGCAAACCACTGACGCGTTGTTTTGTGTATTAATATAATACTCTAGAAACTGATAAACTTTTATTAAAAACCAATTTCTCAATTAAATGACATTGTGTAACTAAAAACTTTACCTCAGTGTCAACTGCTATCACCATCGCTGTTTCTCCTGCATATCAATGATATGTTGCTAACTGGTAGCATTCATTGCTATGCAGACGACAGCACTGGTGACGTCTTATATACCGGCCGTGCCAATATTTCTCGGGGAAACGTTGCCGAGTACCGGAACAAACTTGTGTCTGACGTCGAGTCTTTACTGGACAAAGTCTCGGATTGGGGGCGACTAAATCTAGTCCAGTTTAATCCTCAGAAGACACAAGTTTGCGCGTTTACAGCTAAAAAGAACCCCTTTGTCGTATCTCCTCAGTTTCAAGGTACTCCCCTTGTTACCCCTCAGCCAGTATCGGAATCCTCGGCGTCGACATATCGAGTGACGTGCAGTTTCGTGGTCACTTGGGAGGGAAGGCCAAATTCGCCTCTAAAAAGCTTGACGTGCTCAGCAGAGCGAGACAGTATTTCATGCCGGCACATCGCTTGCAACTTTACAAAGCGCATGTTCGGCCCCACATGGAATACTGTTCTCATCTCTGGGCCGGGGCACCCCAGTGCCAGCTCCTTCCACTTGACCGCATCCAGCGTAGAGCGGTTCGAATCGTCGACGACCGAGTTCTTTCTGATAGGCTCGATACACTGGCACTGCGTAGAGATGTTGCATCTCTTTGCGTATTTTATCGCATCTATCACGGGGAGTGCTCTGAGGAATTGTTCGGACTAATTCCAGCCGCTCAATTTCACCATCGCACATCGCGACAAAACTCGCGTTACCATCCATACCATCTGGATTATTGGCGGTCCACCACTGTGCAATTTAGAAGAAGTTTTCTCCCTCGCACAACTTCCTTGTGGAATCAATTACCACCAGCGAATTTTCCGGACCGATACGACTTAGGAACCTTCAAGAAACCTTTCTAAAAGGCCGGCATCGCATCTGCAATTCCCCTGGTGTTGCGGTTGTTCATGGGCGGCGGTAGTCACTTACCATCAGGTGAGCCGCATGCTCGTTTGCCCCCTCTCCTATAAAAAAAAAAAAAAAAGAATAAAATATTATAGTATATATTATAGTAAATAGGTTTTTATGAACTACTATCACGCTGCATCTGTATTATGATTGCAACACGAATTGCTCGGCTTGACCAGAAAAAGAGCCACACTCTACAGAATACCAGTTTCGTATGGTGAAGAGAACTGAAGACACTATTTACTTCAACGGGGAATTTCTCATACCTCAGGGATAATTTTACATCTGCATTTTGACTCTTAAGAAGGATAAATGAAGATATTTATAAGCCACAGCATCTACTTACCATCAGTTGGACTGTGGGCTCGTTTGTCACACTTAAACAGATCAATATAATCTATTCTCTTTACTTTACTGTTTCAGATCTTTATTCATAAAGAATTAAAGGATTTGTACAAGTATGTTCCTCAAGAAATGATGCCGAAGGAATACGGTGGTCAGTGCGGTACCATGGAGGAACTTCAAGGTAATTTAATGTATATATTATTCATACTATAGGCTACTGTATAATGGAGACGTTTTACATAGCACATAGATTCGTTTTCATTCTCAATAATGAAAATGCTCCCTACCCCGCGCTTATTCGGCATGCTTGGCTGGCGGCTTAACGATCACAGTACAAGATGTTTTACGTCTTTGACACTGCAACGTTCGTCGGTACGGGTATTTTGTATACATGTGTATATATGGATTTTGCCATAGTTGCCACGCTTAGCACGCTACTTTGGCAACCGTAAATCAGGAAAGTTCTGCTGTCCAACTCCTGTTTACGTTTACTTCTGTTGTGACTTACGACATCTACGGGACGATATGGAGTAGTGAATATTCTTACACACATCATCAACAAGTCCACTGCTGAACATAAGTCTCCCCCAAGGAATGCCACAAAGCACACACACACACACACGCGCGCGCGCGCGCGCGTGCACACACACACACACATACACACACACATACATACATACATACATACACATACACACGCACGCACGCACGCACACACACAGATATAATAATATTTCCGATATTAGTAATATTAATAGCACTGCGCTCGATGATTTATGTACATATTAATTTATACTTCTACCGTTTCAGATCAGTGGACACAGAAGCTAATAGACTACCGTGAATGGTTCCAATCCCAGGAGTCAGTTAAGGCTAATGAAAGCCTTAGACCTGGAAAACCAACTAACTACGACGAACTCTTCGGTATAGATGGCTCATTTAGGCAATTGGCTATTGATTAATTACTTGATTTCATGATTTAAGGATCTTATTTTGTAATTTTTGTCATAGACTAATTTAAGTTAGTGAATCCTGTCGAAATCAAATCCTCAGATCAAGAAAGAAAGATATATAGAGACCGCGCTTTATTTCTTGCTTACTTACACCAACATGTTTCTTCTTTATTCTTTAACTTCCCGTAAAAGTCCACCGTTGGATGCACACATATGCACCTATGCAAATGATTTTGTATGCATGTGCGCAGTGTGCATGTTGTTAGTTAAATATGGTTTCAGCTTGGTTTCTTTCGTCACTTAAAGTGTACGTAGTATTTTATCAATTTTTTATTGGTCATGATCCTGATCCTTAAGTTAAATAACAAAAGAATATAAAGTAGAATCTAAGAAATTATAAACTTTGCTTTCAATCGCGTTTATTGTGAATATTCGTAATAATAACTGTGGTTGTAGGTATTGTTAAAATGAAGTTATTGCTGCTTGATTTTTATATTAATGTTGTTGAATTCGCCAGTATTATGAAATATTAATGTTCATGTGTTGTTACTAAATTACGAGTCAAGGTTTAATCAATGATATTTAATTTATATAACTTTCTATATAATTTCGGCGTACTTTGTATTATGATTTATGAGGAGCTAAATTTTGTAATACTTTTTTAACTAAAATAATAATTTTCGGATTATATTTTTAGAGAAAACACATTTTATGCACATAAGAAACACCATGTGCATAAAATGTGTACCATGGAATAAAATTCTAAAAATTTTTTCTGCACATTTTGTAATAGCTTGAAAATAAGATTTCAATTTCACAAACTCAATGGCATTTAGAAAAATAATTTGTATCTATTCAATAAAATGTAGGCTTTACACGTAATGTTTTTGAATTATCTTTTATTCGAAAATCAAATGTGATAAGGAATAGATTAGGCTAGTTATCTAATTTACTATTTTAATAATAATTTCTTGACTTAGGCCTTCTCTCTACCTCTTATATGATTCTTTTTAAATCGATTGCTAAAAAAGTAATAAATTTAGACCAAATTCACATTAGTCTAAGAATATACTTAGAATTTTAATCCATATAGTTTTCTATAGTAAAATGCCAATATTAATAAAACATTTCATGAAATTTGCTTTTAGACATAGAATTTTAAATCGGGCAATTTTATGATATCCTTTTGTTTATAATAAAGAATTTCTGAATGCAAATTTAATTTATAGTAAGTATAATATACTTTCTTTATAAGAATAGTTAGTTAAAAATGTTTCGTTTATGAAATAAAGAGAAAGGTGATAGTACAGCTCTTTTCATTTATAATAGAATAAACCTACATTTCTAGTCATGGCGAAGGTCGAATCAGAATGAGGGCTTCCACGACTTTTCTGCCACCAGGGCGGCGACACTTAAAAGTGAGGTATTATATTCGACAGATTTCATAGCGGGAAAGTAAATTTTTTCGAAAAATGTAAAGGGTAATATTTGTTTCTGCAATATTAGCTATATTTTATATTAAAAAGATTAAAGATAAATAAACCAAATCACAGATATTCATAAAAGCAGATTTTTTTAAAAGTTAAAAATATGACAAAAAAATAAAGTACAAACCACTAATGCATTGTTTTGTGTCTTAATATAATACTCTAGAAACTGATAAACAGTTATCAAAAACTAACTTCTCAATTAAATGACATTCTGTAACAAAAAACTTTTACCTTAATGTCAACTAGCGACATCTGGTGAGCAGAAAATTATTAGCCCTCTCTCTGAAATTTGTCGAGACTGTCAAAGAAGCAGACAAAACTCAATCCTATAACTACCATTTGCCTTAATGTTACGTCATGCAAAATACTCGTATTTGTGGTTAAAAATGAGTTTTGGGTCCTTCTGCCGACCGCAACATTGATTCACTAAAATTGATAGTACCTGATTACCATATCATACATACCCGAAGCCAAAAGCTCGAGCCGACGTCCCGCGAGTCTTTTATGCTGACCGCTACGCCCAACGCTCTTGATTTTCTTTTATAGAATAAAGATGACAAAGGAACACAATCCATCTGATGGGTAGTGGATGCTATGGTCCCTAAACACGTGTATCTTCACTACATGTATCCTCGATTAAGAATTAAGCGCAAATGCACTGCCACACCTACTGGCAATGCTATGAACATTACTAGTATTCCCAGAATGGTTCGCAACCCTTGCCCCGACGGGTTATAAGCATGCCGTGGACAGTAGCCATGGCATGAAATAACCGGAACCCAGATGAATACTATAAAATAATATAAATATGACCTGGTGGACTGCGGAGAGTGATCTCGCTCAATATTAAAAGTTACCTGCCTTTATAAAAGCTATACCGATTTTAAATTTGTTCTGTGCCTATGACCCACTCGACTTCCGATTGATGTATGCGATGCTCTGGTGACTGACTGATGGCATAATTTCTTACCAGGTTATCACTCCATCTAGTGAGGGTCCGCCCCATACTTCGTCTACCGGTAAGAGGCTGCCACTCGAGAACTTTTCTTCCCATTGGATGTCGGTTCTTCGAGCTATATGGCCGGCGCATTGCCACAATCTTACTAATCTGTTGGGCTATGTCGATTAGTCTGGTTCCACTGCGGATATCCTCATTTCTAAGTTTATCACGCAGAGAAACCCCGAGCATAGCCCTCTCTATAGATCGCTAGTCGACTTTGAGCTTCCTCATACGGCCAGCAGTGAAGGACCACGTCTCAGATCCATAAGTCATCACTGGCAACATGCACTGGTTGTACAATCTTGTTTTCATGTTTTGAGGTATACCTGACTAGAAAATGTGTCGTAATCTCATGAACGCTGCCCATTCAAGTTGAATCCGTCGACTGACCTCTCGGATGAAGTTTTACCTACTCGGACTATTTGTCCCAGGTAAACACACTCGTCAACAACTTCGAGCTTAGTGCTCCCAACAACTACCGGCATAAGTTTGACATGGACGTTACACATGATCTTTGTTTTGTACATGTTCATCTTAAGACCTATCCGTTGCGAGGCACTATTGAGGTCATTGAGCATAGTGCTTAGGTCCTCTAGCGATTCTGCCATAAGGACTATATCGTCGGCAAATCGAAGGTGAATGTGTTAGTCATTAATGTTAATACCGTATCCTTTCCAGTCCAGTAGCTTGGAAACGTCTTCCAATGCAGCGGTGAAGAGATTCGGGGATATTACGTCACCCGGTCTTAGACCTCTCTGCAGTTGGAAAGGCTGGTTCCGTACTCGGATAGCCATCGTACCCCTACTGTACAAACACTTCAGCACTTTCATATAAATACAGTCAACTTGGCACCGCTGAAGGGACTGCAGCACCGCCCAAATTTCAACGGAATTAAAGACTTTCTCATAGTCCACATACCCAAGACAAAGTGGCAGATAATACTCTTCGGTCTTCTGTACAAGCGAAGCGTCAGTAGCCTAATGGCAGGGCGTGGACCGCGAACTCGAAAGGTCGTGGGTTCGAATCCGCCATTCGACTACTGTCGTGAACCACTTCTAACACAAGCATTTTAAGCTTACCAGAAGTGGTTAAAGGGAATATTAGTAATGTTTAATAGCATTACTAGTATTTTTTTTAAATAAATTGCCGAAGGGTATGTATGTGGTATATGGTGCTAAAGCCTTTTCGGAAACAGGCTTGTTCGGGAGGCTGGAAGTCGTCGAGACTGCGTGCGAGACGATTCGTAATGACTCTCGAAATTAGAACGTAGACGTGACTCAGAAGGTAAATCGATCTGTGGTTCTTCAAGAGAGCGTTGTCACCTTTCTTTTCTACGTGGTAGAGCCATGTTGCAGCTATATTATGGTTGTAGCACGAATGGGTCGGCTCGAACGGGGAAGGACCACGCTCTCACAGAAAACCAGCGTAAAATAGCAGCTTAATGCTGCTGTGTTTCGTATGGTGAGTTTAGAGAACCGGAGACCCTTTTTACTGGCAAAGAGGCATTCCATCTTAGTCCTCACGGGTGACAACGCATCTGCATCTTGAGTCTTTATTGAGGATAGATGTAGATGTCTATGGGTCACAGTAACCACTTCCATCAGGTGGACTGTGTGCTCGTTTGTCACCCGATCCTATAAAAAAAAACGATACCATGCCTATGCCTCTGGAGTAGTGCCGGAAGTAGAATAGTGTAGAACGGAACTAAAGAGCTTTCGGAGTACTTCAAGTACAGGTTTTCCACCTACTTTCGGAAAGGTTGCTGTAATTCCATCCTAACCCGGGGGCTTGCCGTTTTTAGGTGCTGGAGAGCCATTCTAATCTCACTTAGACTGTTGTCCAGTATATTATTGGAATAGTGTCCGATAAAACGATAACCCTGAACCCAAATTTTACAGACTTGGATTGGGGTGCAACATTAGTATATGTGTGTGGATTCTATCTCTACGCTCAACTAGCCGCCTGCGCATCACGGTGAGTACGGAAACAAGCCTTCCAAGTGACGCTGGCCAGCTGGAGCATTCTAGCCGTGGACTAAAAGAGCCTGTTCATACGATTTGTGTACATTTCCAATCGATATCTTATATTCTTCTTTTTTTTATTGGTCGCTTCCGTTGTAGATCGGATTTGCTCTATCGCCACGTTAAACAGCCTGATAACGCAGTACAGTTATTCTATTTCACGATGAAGGTTTCGCCTTGATTGTAGTAGTGACGTGTACCGACAGGTGCGTTTGTGTGTGTATCTGCGATTCGTTCGACTCGCGATCGTGACTGAGCGCTCCCGAGGCCTACGCACACTAACACAATGTGTATGTGCACGCCTAACAACAACTAAAGTCAAATCTTTATCGTGAAACAGAATAACTATACCATCGCTGGTCTGAGTATTTAAAAAAAAATATTTTTAAACTTTCTAATTGATTTTTCGATTGATGTTATCGAATAACCACTTACTTCGACAGTCTAGAAATTAATAGGAAAACATAAAACATTAAAAAAATAAAAAAATATATTGAAATATGTAATTTATTACTGTGAGACAGTCGTGGTCTGACTTCTTAGGCTTTGTTAAACGGATAGTAAGGATGATCTCTCCATTCAACAATATCTACAACTCTTATATTCTTGTTAAACTTATTTATATTAGCAATTTCGTCTTCGGTTAAACTGAAATCGAATATGTCGATGTTTTGAATTATTCGCTCCTTATTTGTCGATTTCGGTATCGGAATGGTTCCTCGGTCAATCTAAAACAAATCGACAAATCAAAATAATATTAATTCCCTACTATAAACTGTATTTTTATAAGACAATTTAAAGACAAATGAAACAATCTTTTATTACCAATATAAAAAGTAAACTTAGCCGATAAAATTCCTATTTATACAGGGTTATTTTGCAATAACCGGCCAAATTTGCAGAAAGCTTAATAATATAGGCAAATAGTGAAGAAAAATTAATTTACAAAATCTCAAATATTCTGTCCTTTTATCTTTTAAATTCAAAATACATAGTAATGCATTATTTTATAACTGATTTTACTGCGCATTTGTAAGGGTCGATCAGTAGGCAAAAATGTTATTGAATTTGAACATTGAATTTGGGATAATTGCAAATAAAAGTAGAAGCCTTATTTACTCGTAATATCAAAAACTGCATTAATAGTATATCATTTATTATATATATGAACTTAAGTTTAAAATTTGGCTGCTCTTTGAAAAATAACCCTGTATGGATAAAATATACTAGGTTACATAGGAAGCTAAACATGAAATAGCTTCATTTATAAATTTCAGCCTATAAACACCACAATTACCACGGTTAGCAGGTGGGTTCAGGATTGCACTTCAACACAATTTTTCAAACACTTAAACACCTCTGATGGTTCGATAAGGGAAAAGCTGGAAGTGGACAGAGTAGTATGAAAATAATGTAGGAAAAGGTTAAAGTAAAACTTTGAAAGCCAGAACACGGGTACGCCTACTTAGGGGGCCGCTCCGTTGTGGCGACACAGAGTGGAACTGTTGCGCAGGTAGATATAGAAACCGTGAAAAAAAACCCCCCTGCTCGAATAAAAAGAGGGAGGATTTATCATTTCCCGCAAAGGCAAAAGCCAGTTGATGTCGTTGATGGGGCTGCGGGTGACAGAGAATTGTCACGGAGGCTTGTTAAGCGGCAATAGTGAAACACCACGCGGGGCAAAGCCAATAATAAATTATTACAGACTAAAATATATTTTCAACGAATAGCCGTGAAGTCGCTGTGTAGTTTTTTTGTTGTTTATCTTTTCTTTGTGTACAATAAAGAGTATTGTATTGAAGTCACTGCGTAGTGACGCCGTAAGAGAATCTACTATCTCATAGAGGTCGTAAAAAGCGGTATAGGGAACCTGAAATAGGTGAGACGGGCGGCAGCATCTTCTTGATAACAGCTCCAAATAAACAAAAATGGTGTGGCTGCAGTTGCCAACTCGCCTGCTAGGCATAGCAACTATGCAAATACCCCCTAGCCACTGACCGCGTCCTTGTATAATCGAGGTCAGTGCCCATACAGTATAGGATTTTTGATGCGTCGTATTGATAATGAATGTTGAAATTAAGAAGTGAAAAAAATATATTAAATACACAAATACACAAACCAAATAACGGAGTACGACTTGACTTGTAGTTTTTCCATATTTTTCGGCAATTTTCATCAACTCCGGATCATCGAATCTGGGTGACAGCTTGTTTTCTTTTCTTCTGGACACCATAAAACCAAACGGGCTGTATGACATGACGTCAATATCAACACTTCTACAATAAGATATGAGCTGCTCTTGCGTTAATGTTGGATTGACCTGAAAATATATTTTAACATTAATTTTACTATAAAATGCTCTTGAATATTTTCCCACCTGGTGTGTGTGTT